CGTTGGCGGTGGCCTGCACCAAGAAGCCACGCAGCAGCGCTTGGTGTCCATCTCCGTGCAGCTGTAGGTTTCCAGAGGGAGACAAAATCCGCTCTGCCGGTGGGCCTTGCCGTTTGCTTTTCTTCTGGATAAAAACAAACAAAAAAATGGATTACCTTGAACTTGCTGCACTGGAACATTGTGTTAAACACGTAAGTAGTTTGGCAAATAGCGCGATTGGCCAGATCTTCCTCTGCTGTAAGTCTGTATAATTGCGCTGAAGTCTGCAAGCCTCACTCGGCATAATGAGAAATGGCTCCCTTGTGGGAAAATTATCTCCTAGTGATACTGTTTCTTTAAAAAAAACCCTCAAACCACAAAGCATGCTTAAATATTCTTTGGAAACATGAACTAGATGACCTCCTGAGGTCCCTTCCAACCTGAGTTATTCCGTGTTTCTGTGCTGCTGCTGTTTGTTCACGCAGAATTTTGCAGGATGGAGTCCCAGTTCCAAACTGAAGCCGCGTTGTGCAGGGCAGCGATACAGCCTGCTGGGCTGGGGGAGGTGGAAGTGGAGTGATCCGCAGCCACGAGACCAAGTGGTGTGTTACAGCACAGGGTGTGTTACTGTCAGCCGGGATTACTGAAACAGCTTCAGCCCGCTTTTCCTCTCTGTAGCAACCCCAGATCTGCCTGAGCACTACTATCACGCTTCAGATTACATGAAAATAGGCACTGGTGAACTGTGAAGGCTGTTGTTTTTCATCATATTTAGTGCTTTTTTTACACATCACAAAGATTGTCATGCAACCTCTCATTTATATTCTTTGATTCTTTTATCTCAAATTGCATAACAGTTTTAATTAGTACTACCGTTTCTTCTCCACAGGCAGAGAAGCTGAGGCACTAATACCTTAAGACTTGCATTTTCATGCTCGCTTGACTTGCAAAACAGCAGCCCACCTCTTCAAGACTCCTAACAGCGTGAAATCTAATGAAACGGTGTTAGTGCATTGTGCTACTGGAATGATGACTACTCTAGAAGGTGATTACTAATTGGTTTAGGTTCCCTTTATGCTTGACTATCTGGAGTTAGCCCCCTCAGCCATTAGATCTACTTACACCACTTATTTCTGTTTACAAGTTTTGGCAAGATATCAAGATGTTGCAAGGGGGATTGGGTATCTAACTCCCATTGTTTCCAGTCACATAGTTAGTCGGTGGAAAGCCCTGAAGGAGAAGACAGGTTATTTGATCCCATGGCCTGGTGATGGATTTTTTTTTTTCCCTGACTCCACTGCTGCTACATGTGCCACTGAAGTCAATGAAAATGTTACTGACTTTGGTGGGAGCAAAATATCAGGCTGCTAATGGGGAGCTGTGACAGAGCAATGCTGTAGTTCTAGAAAGACAGCAATGCGGGATTACTAACATGATGTATAAAGAACTGTTTTTCTACAGCAGCTTTAGTTTTGACATCAGCTTGTCCTGCAGCTGATCCCTGTAGCTCCGTCAAGAGCAGGTACATGGTATGCTCACCTGGTGAAGGCTCCGGTGCCCTCCAGTGTGGTACGCAGTGCTGTGCCAAGTCCTTAGGCAGCAGCAGCAGGAGCGTGGCCATGTGGAGCACCTGGGAAGCGATGGCTGAGAGCTTGTTTGCCCAAGTGCAAAGCCTCCCTGGTGTCATACCTGAAAATGTGATTAATGAAAGAATTTGTGATGCCCACAGTTTTGGAAGAGAGCCAGCGTTGGGGTGGACGTGCTCCAGCATTTGCATACATAGATGGAGGAGCTCTCCTTCCTGTGCTTCTTGTCATCTTTCTTCTGGGTCTTACTCTCTTGGGCCCTTTTCTGGGGCTGGAGGAGGTATGGCTGTCTCAGGTTTTTGCATATTGCTCTGTTTCTGACAAACAGAAGTGACTTAGGATTCCTGGTGATACGAATCTCAGTCTCATAGGTTACTCCCAACGTTTTGGTTGGTTCCTGTGAAGCTGACACCCTGATGTTTCTTTGATTCATCGCTTATTTTCTATCTCTTAAATGTTACTGAACTGACTAATGCCCTTTTATTATTCCTCACTAGCTGTCAAGAAGAAGCAAAATCATACTAGTGCACATGAGGCAGTAAAAGCTGGTGATGTAGAACAGCTTGCATCAATGATAAAAAGTGGAGCTGGTATTAATGAGGTGGATTTAGTCCACAAATTCACACCGTTGCATTGTGCTGCACACTCTGGAAGTCTGGAGGTAAAACATTATATTGGTGTTCAGACACAGCAAGGTTTTTATAGGTTAATGTTTTCCTTCTTTGGGAGAGGCTGGACACAAAATTCCTAGCTTTGATCAAGCTAAATCAATAATCTCTGCCTGATTTTCTCATTAAATATATTCACCAAGAACAGAAATACAGGATTTTAGGTTTTCATTTTGCCTTCCTGCAGCCCCAGGCAGTTTGTATAGTCAATGTTGCCAGATTTTACAAAATCAGTGATTTTTTTACTCTGAGCAAAGTGTACCCTATGATCTCCCTTCCAGACTCGTGACCTTCTTTTGTCCCTATTCTGTTTTTCCCTTCTCTTGGGACATCTAGAACATCCTGTAAGATGTGTAAAATGTTCTGCAGGTGATTGAAACAGGTGAGAAGGGACATGAAAATGTATTCATTCTGTTTACTGATGTCCTGTCCCGTGCCTCATTCTCTATAGAAATAGTCCTAATACCTTTTATTTTAATAAAAAACTTGTTGAATATTGATGGAGAAATCAGCAGGTGCTTGCATGAGTGTTTTGAACTTCCAGGAGGACTGAGCTGCTGTATTCTGCACAACATTCACCTTCCTGTTGCAGCCTCCTTGTACAATCTTTACAACAATCTAACCTTGAAGCAGCAAAGCCATGAATAACCATATAAAAATTCATGTTCAATAGAGTGTAAAGTTTTTGCTAAACTCAAGAAATAGTAAGTGCAGTGCTGTTACTGGAAGGTGCAGAAACTGTCAAGAAAATGCTGATCATCATGCTGTCAACCCTAAAAACAGATTGCTTACCCACCCTTTTCTGCCTCTGTAAATTCTGCCATTTTTCATTTGACTCTCCTACTTTGCAATCAATATTAGACTTTATTGAATTATCTGTCATCTATTTGTCGCTAAGATCCTTCGTGGAAACGGTGACAGAGCCAGAGCTGCAGGCTGGCCTAAAAGAAGATAATAAATCATCATAATACATAATAAAAGGTTTTAACTGGTCCTCTAGGTTTTTTTGGATAGTCCATAAAGCTTTCCATTGCAAGCAATAATATCTGCTGGAAAAAGGTGAATAAGCAAAACTAAGCTGTGGAAGGATGAGAAGAGGGATGGGATTGTGTACACCTAAGGAACCTAATAAATTAAACGAGGCTTTAAATTTGGTTCATGGTATTTTTTCTGCCAGTAATTTTAGCTGGAATTCAAGTGTTTGCGTTGTTTTTTTCCAATGCTTTTACCTCATGCCATGTGAATACTCTCACAGATTACATTTTAAATCTGGAAGAGTAAAATTAAGAAGCCATACTGTAAAATCAATGCTAGGCTCTGAATTAGTAGGTTATTTGCACTTTTCGTACCCTTGGGTGAAACCTGGAAAGTATAACTTACCTGTAACTTCCTAATGCACAAGTGTGCTCTGCGATGTCATATTTCCATAAAGAAATATTCCAATACTGTTTTGAAATGTAACATCGATTGATAAATTATAGTTAAAATGTGCTTCAGATACATGATAAGAATAGTTAAATAAAAAACTTTGGTTTTGGTTGAGCAGTGCCTTCACTGGTTGCTCTGGCATGGAGCTGATACAAAACACGTAACTGTCAGAGGCTGGACAGCGGCTCACCTCGCAGCTATCCGAGGTCAGGATGCTTGCATGCAGGTATGTATAAATATTCACTCTCAAGCTAAAGTAAGTAGGGTAGACCTTCAGTTTGGACAAGTTCATTATGAAGATCAGCTGAAAGAGCTCCTAGTGGAGCTATGAGTATCTCTGAGTATCTCATCCTGATGCCTTTACATCTGGAATCGAGTCACTCTTGTCAAAACCAGCACACTCATTTGCACTACGTGTGCAAACAGATTTATTTCGTGTAGTGTCATTGCCTTGAGGTCAGCCCAGAGTTACCCTGCTGATCATCTCAAGTCACCCTGCTAGGCAATTTTGGCTTTTTCAGCTTGTGAACTGAACTTCTGCTTTGCATTTCTTTTAGGCTTTATTAATAAATGGAGCAAACGCAGAAGCTGAAGATGATCGTGGGTGCACTCCGTCCCACTTAGCTGCAGCCCATGGGCAGTCTTACACCTTACAAACCATACTGCGAAGTGGAGCGGTGAGAGACTTTTACCTGCAGTTCCCCAGCCAGAGCCAAAGTCTGGTACCTATTTCCAAATAGAACTCTCCCTAAATTAAACAGAGATTTAGGACCCTAGATGAATTACTGTTTGTATGTTCTTGTTGGTGACTTTATTTTTAGGGTAAATCTCAATTTTTTTATTGTAAGATACATAAAGGAAATGATCCAAAAAATCTAGAGCAAATCAATAATATGAGTAAACCATGTTCCATGGAGGATGCCATCAAAGGAAGATCTGGCCCTGTGGTGGTTGTGATTTTTTGCAATTGTACAAATCTTCTATAGTGAAGGAGACATAAACTTAAAAAAAAACCCAGATGCATATTTAAGGAATAATGACCAATGCAGTGATAGAAGTATGTCTAAAAATGCATCTTTTACATGTGTATTATTTAAATAAAACCAAGAACCTGTGAAAAGTGTTTTTCCAAGAAACCTATCTTGGAATGGGAACTGCATACATGGTATGAACTTTGAAAAAAGCTATTTGATTTTATTTTAATAATTTAACACGATGAACAGCTGATTCCTATTTATAAAATTTGTCTTGTGTCTTAAGATTCATAAATGAAAGAATTAACCTGCTGCTTTCATTTTAGAATGTAAATGTTTCAGACAGGAATGACTGGAAGCCTGTTCATTATGCTGCTTTTCATGGTCGCTTGGGGTGTTTGCAGCTTCTTGTTAGATGGGGATCATGTATAGATGATGTGGATAACAACGGAAATCTTCCAGGTATATCAGGATAAATCATACATTCTTTTAACCTTTGGTTTACAGTTATTGTGTGATATGATAATTGTAGCGAATTATAAGTAATGCACAGCAGCAGCATTTGCTATTTGATTCCACGCAATCAACACAGTTATTCCATTTTTATAATGATGGGGGAATTTGTAAAATCCAGAGTATTTATCTGTTGGTGACAGTATCCTATTCACCTCCTACTGCTGCTGGCAAGGATCAGAGCTCATGGGTGCTGGAATAGGGAGCAAGCTGAGCCTGGCTGAGAGCGCTGTGTAGGTGGGCAGCATCTCATGCATGTGCCAACGGAGGTCACAGGAGGAGAAGGGTAGGTGGAGCAGGAGGCAGTTTCAGCGGCTATATGCTCCTTTTTGAATTTGTGCCAGGCTTTAATGGCTCTGCCAGTGTGATCAGATTCTGGCACAATCATATGCAGGTTTTTGTATTCCACTGTTTCTTAACTGATCTGATAAAACCCTTGTTCTCATTTACCTGTGATTTCTTCATCTTGATTTCTGGAATACCGGTATTCTGTATTATCTGTAATCTGTCCTCTTTTCATAATCACGAGCGTGGTTGCTTTAGCGCAAAAAATGGGCAGTGTTTTATTCATAGTTTCTCCAGTGTCCCTCTGTCTACCATGCCACTGCCTCAATATCCTCTGTCAGTTGAAAGGTATTGTTCAAACCGTGTTCTCATTGCATCCTTTCCCTTTCAGCATTTTCCTTCTTACGGTTTGTCACATTATTTGTTCCAAATAGCATATTTTTTTCCTCTATAATTTGTTTAGAGTTATCTTTTTAAATTCCTTCTTAAAATCTTTACCCTCTGTTAAGTACCACTTACCTAGTAAACTGATATCTATGTTCTCTTCTGCAAACCTGGGTCTTGTTAAAGGATGTGAGGCTCTTGCATCCCAGCGGGACGTCTCATGTGTTAGCAATAGGGGGTCATGGTGTTAGGCACCCTGGAGGCAGCGTAGAAGGTAGCTTTATTTGCATTTGGGAGCACTTCCCTGCTAACAGACTTCTATGGAGAGGTGGCAGATGCCACCACAGTTCTACTTAAACGCTCTGGTTAGTAGAAAATTGGTTTTGTTGTTATTTTAGCATCTACAGAAGCTTGATCCTCCAGCCTTTGTTCTGTTTCATTTGATCATATTATCATCCAAAGGAAAGAAAATGCTTTGGAACATTGCTAGTAAAAGATTAATAAAGTGGTGTGGTGTACAGACCGGCTTTTCCTCAGCTTCTGAAACAGCGAAGTGAACTTAAATCATCTTTACATATTTCAGCTTCAAGATTAGCTGGACAGTGCTATAATTTTTCCTAACAGTATACTGAAAGAAATTTACTGAGGTTACAATGCCCTACAGCTAACACTAGGCTGAGGCTTTTGCATGTGTGTGTTATAGTAGGGGCTTTAATTACCTACAGCATGCTGATTTTGGGGAAGAACTGTGGCTCATTCTGTGTACAGAATGTGCTGTGCTCATTAATTCAACATTTTGTTTTCTCTCTGTATTTGGTTTTTGGCTGTATCCCTGTTTCATGTATTGCTCATTAGTTAAACCTGTTCTAAATACAATATTAATTTAATTGTAGCACAACATCTGAAGTTTTCACAGACACTGTTTTTTCACTCTCCACTTTGAGAAGAGCGAATAGTGTTAGCCTGATTTTATAAAAGGCGAGATGAAACACAGAGAAGTTGGGCACCAACACCAACTACCCACTGCCTATTTGTGATGCCCGAGACAAGGTTTTTCAAAGTTCTCAGCATTAAGCTGCATATTTTGTATTAATATCACAGTACTCTTTGGCTTTAGTCTGAACTGCAAGTGCTCAGCACGCCTGAGGCTCATACGGCACAGTTACGTGTTGGGCACTAGCTACTAGGAAACACACAGGTTAAAAGCCACCTATGAAAAGTTCCTTTATATGTCTTCCACAGCGTCCCACTGAAACTGTGCAAAAAGACATGGACAGAATACAACTGTTTAATCTATTTCCCCCTTGCCATCTTTGCAGAAAATGTTAAGCTTTTCTGACCGCTTTCTGCATGGGACAGACATCTGATAAAAAAAAAAAAAAAAAGTTTCATCCCAAAAGGTGAAGTTTTATCCCTGAGATTTTAGGCACCTGAAAGTGGATTCATAAGGGTTGAGCCAGTTTTTAAACCAGCTGACTAGTAATCTGTACTTACTTTTAAGAAGGTACCTCTTCTTTTCACTTCTCCCTGAGTAACTCACTGAATAAAATTAAGACAACGGGAAAAACTGCCCTGCATTCAGTGAAGCTCAGATTCTGTCGCATTACATTTTAGCAATCATCTGTACCTAAGTATTGTCATCTTGCCATAAAACCAATATCCATCACCTTTTAAAGCAATTACACTCTGGAAAGCTGTGGATGGTTTGCAATAGAGAACTTGCATGTGCCAAAAATTAACTTAAGTTACATGGGGCTTTTTTGGTCCTGGGTACATTGTTTATTAGCTGTGAAGATAATGAGAATCTCGCCTGGAGACAAACTAATCCTTTTACCTGTAGAACATCAGCCAACTTTTACAGAGCATTTTCATGGAGTGATAACGCATAATAAGCACTTATTTGGCAACTCCTTCCCATTAATGGGACTAGAGAATACAAATAATTTCAAAATAATGAGCATGTGTTTTGTACTTCTTTCTTTGTTATAGGCCCAGCACTCTAGTAGTATTAAGTAACTAAACCTCAGCATAGCCTAAAGGACAGGGGACTTGACCCCCACAGAGGAGCAGTCGCTGCCATGGTGAGGCGGAGAAGCTCCTGCACGCAGCAACTGTCCACAGCAGTTGAAGGAAAAGAAATGTATGACACAAGTACTGTGAATAGAAGCCTCTGCCATGGGATGTACCTTCAAATACTTTACCCAGTAAAGCAAATGTCACTGCCCTCATTTTATAGGTGGGGTAACTGAGATGCAGATGCGTGACAAAACTTGTTTGTAGTGGCACAGTAGAGGTGAGACTAAAGCAGAAATGGCCTCAACTCCTAATCAAGGACACCCCTTGCTGGCCCTCTGTAATGAGTATCCCTAGGATAGCGAAGTCACACAGCTGCTGAGGAGTGAGATTTGTGTTCATGGGGAAGATGAGACCCCCGTGGCACACTCTCCTAGCTAGTGCGCAAAGGTCTCGTGGCAGTGTCATGTCGTCTCCTGCAATCAGCTCGGCCAGGGAATCTTTGCAGATCCTATCCTTGACTCTTTTACCTCCTTTGCATAGAGTTGAACTCTGTCCTGGATAGGAGCTCAGCATCCCCTATCCAACTGAGGCTGCTCCCACTTGTTGTGCTGTGTTGGATGGCTCAGGTGCTGGTAGATGAGCTGGATCTAACTAGTCGTGAGAACACTGCTTTCTTGGTGGGCAGCAGTGCTCTGCTCTAATATACTTTGTTTCACCTTGTTCTATAGCTCATCTGGCAGCAATGGAAGGACATTTGCATTGCTTTAAGTTCTTGGTCAGTAAAATGGCCAGTGTCATGCACACACTGAAAGCCAGGAATGACCAAGGAGAGACTCCAAGGGACTTGGCTGAACGGTTCTATAAAGATAATATTCTGCAATATATTGACAGTGTGGAAAAAGAGGAGGAGCACCCAGAGACACAGGAAGGTGAGTATGGATCAAGATACTGTTAAAATAGGCATTGTAATTCTATAGAAATGCTTAATTCGGAAAAATTGTATGAGCAGAAGTATAGCATTTAAATTACCAATATAAGGAAGAGCTGTTCTTTTCAGTACTTACTGATAGCTAAGACTGGGATATACAAAGTGATTTTATAAACATCTTAGGTTTACCAATTATTAAAATAAAACATGTCACCCTATGTCGCACTATGAAACAACTTATCCATGCAATTAGACTCCAGTAGACATCCAGACGAGCTGTATAATTTTCATGAGTTTTCAGATTTGCCTGCTCAGAGTCCCTTACTTGCATTGAATAGCAACTTAGCCTGGAAATATCCCACTGAAATTAAGGTTACTTACTAACCAGCAATACTTTTACTTTTTTTAATCTCCTTTTATGACCTGGTGACCCGCCTGGTAGATGATGGAAAGGCTGTGGATGCCATTTACCTGGACTTTAGTAAAGCCTTTGACACATTCTCCCATAATATTCTCCTTGGGAAGCTGGCAGCTCATGGCTTGGATGGGCATAGTCTTCGCTGCATAAAAAACTGGTTGGGTGTCAGAGCCCAGAGAATAGTGGTAAATGGAGTTAAGTCCAGTTGG